TTAGCGATTTTACATAGATTTGTTATAAAAAAGCCAACAACACTTTCAACAATGGTTTAACAGCGGTTATCTAGAATGTTGTTATGACGGAATTTGTCATAAATAAAGATTCTCGAAAGTTAAAAAATTGAAGTATTTTGGAGTTGGAAGTAATCGGCTAGTGTAAATGGCCTCTGGATGTATCTTTGTCTCCATTTGTGTGTCAGTTTTCGATGATTTGAGTCTCATCGCTTCTGCCATTTGAAGTTCTGAGACGATATCTGACGTAGGCTCATGAAGCCACTTGCGGGCAGTTTCTACAATATATTTAGTACTTGGCCGTATTGACGGATTAGTATCCCAACACTGTTGCATCAACTGTGCATAAAACGGTGGAATGTTGTCGGGAAGTCGCGGTCGCGTGCCATGGCAAATTTGAAATGCGAGGTCAATATTATGTGATACGTTAGCAAAAGGAAGTTCACCAGATGCTATTCATACATGACTATTCCAAAACTATACACGTCAGATGCTTTAGTGTATGGTTGTCCGAGTAGGCGACGTATGGCATCACACCATATGTTCCTGAAGACGCTAACTTATCTGTAGAACGGCATAATCCAAGGTCTGTGACCAATACATAAACCACATTTTCGTTGCAAAAATTTCCATGGATCAGCACATTTCCACCATGAAAATCTCTGTGAACAAGTTCCTTGTTGTGCAACTGACTGAGACCAACAGCGATTTGGTGAAGAGTATCTATCCGATGTGACCAACTGTAATTTACTAAGTTCTGACGGATGTAATGGCGCAGGTCACCATCTTTTGCAAGATCGAGTACCATGATATACTCTTCTGAATAAGGATTTTGAGATGCTCCATATACACGAATAATACCTGTAAAATCTGTTCCCCCGCAACTTTTTTGAAGCGCCACTAGCTGTATTTTTTACATAAGGGAGCTAAGTATATTCTTTTAAATTTTGTAACAGTACAAATTTGAAGACAGATTGAAATCACGTACTTACTTCATTTAGGAATTCTGCAAGATTATGAGAATCGTGGAGAGTCTTGAGGGCAACAATGTGTTCACCAACTCGTTTCCACTTGCGGTGTTCTACGTCCCATCCCACAATTCGACCATCTAACCAAATGGCTTTATGAATGGTCCCATACCCTCCCTTTCCGATTTCCATAATATTTGTGAATCGATCGTAAGGAATCCATTCCAACACGTTACTTTCAAGAGTTGCAGTTAATTGTGCATCTCTGATGACAATGTCAATGTTCTGGTTTCCACTTGTCCAATCTTTTAAGTCTTCTTGAAAATGCTTTGCATTGCAGGAGAAGCACCATCCTGGCCCAGAATTTGACTGTTGACATTCTTCGCATACACCGTGTACATTAAGTTCATTACTTTTTAAAGACGTTCCAAGCCATTTTGAAAAGAGATTTTTTAAGGCGTCCATCAGAGAATGCGTTATGGGAATTTAAAAGTGCATTTTGGGAGTATATGTGAAAAAACTATTCTGCAGTGTAAGTAACACAAATTGGCCACAGCGACCACTTTGCCAGGAAAAAATTCTACATCGATATCCGTACGACATAATAAAATTCGTGATCATTATGCAAAAGTAAACGCGATTATGTATGCGAAATCAGCACCAGGGCCAGCTTCATTTGATTCAGTAAAATTATATCATAGAATGAAGATATTAATCTGAATCTATTGTTGAACTAAATTTCATGTTTCGAAAAATTACCAAAATTCTGCTAAAATGGAAAGTTTGTTAGAATATTGAATGAGAATCTTCGATTCTTGCAATTTATAATATCAATCACTTCAACCTCATCTCTAATAAATACATTCAAAAGTAATGTATACCCTGTTACTTGTATTCCTATTATACCAAATTGCTTCTTTTCCAATCTGTGACTTTATGCGCCCAGAAAGAAATTGGTAGGATCAAAGCCGAAATTAATAATTATAAAACTGCACAAATAAATCTCGTGGTATGTCATATGCGAAAGAAATGATATCAATGATCAACAACGTACGTAACTGCAAAAAAATAACTGATAATGACTCTAGGAACTTACCGTAATAGTTTTAGTAGAATTGCAGATGCAATCAATACAACTATCACATTGCTCTGTGATGAATTATTAAAAGACTCGGAACATAGATTGGAGAGGATTTGATTAACAAAGCGAGGCTTCATCATCCTCCACGATTTTACCCATACAGGCCGGCTTTATCGCTATAATTGGTTTGTAATATATACTGTATATTGAAATAAAAAGACAAAATTTGTTAAGTTTTCATTGGCCTGTATTTTGTTTATTTCTATTTTTAAAATTCATAATAGACTTCACCTAGAAAGTAATTACCAGCCTCGTGATCAATAGCGGATCTATATACTGTAAAAAATTTTAAAGTTTATAAAAACAGGATTTTTTAACATGAAGTTGCTTTTTCACACGCCCCTTGATGCAAAGATAAAATCTTGTAACATCCGTGGAACATAAATACCAAATAAAACTATATCTTGGAGAATCGATATATATTTCATGTAGAATGCAAATTCTCATAAATATTTGCATATTTGACAAAATTTCAGAATTTTTGTCAAAATTTTGATTACATGCAAATATTTGATTTATTTAACGCAGTAACGATCCAAATATAGTATTTATGGCTGAAATATCCAATGATAAAAAAGAAAACGAGCGTTCAAGTCCTTCCCAGGATACGATAATTAAAATGTGGGTTCTCCTTGAGGGTCACCCAAGTCCTCGTAAATTGAAAGCTGACTTATTACAAGTTTCTGACTTGGAAGATTTTAAGGATGTTCTCAAAGAAAAGATTCAAGTGTTAAAAAATATCGAACCGGATGATATTGTGTTCTTAAACCATGACGATCGCAATACACTTATTCCACTAGGCACTCCCCTTAAACCTCTGGCAAACAATACAACGGATATAAAGCCACTCGTTGTACACTCTCCTGCCAGTGATCACCAGAATTTTCAAAATTATATACGATCGATGGCTATGACTCACGTCATACAATAATTTTTTTTGGGACAAATCTCTTACT